CTCTCTGCACCTATGCATTAATTGATTATAGTGATCTCGTTAAACATGTCTCAGTTGCCCTGCAAGATAAAACTAACACAAGCATATATTGCTGCCTACTCACTTGGAATTGTTTGCTAAGCAAGGTTGACCACAACTAAAGAAGAGGCATGGAGACCATTGCTTCTGGTCAAATGAGGTTTTGCAAAATGATCGAGCAAGACCAGCATCAGCAGCTCCACAACTGACATAATCAAGGGATAAAAATTTGATAGTTGCCAAATAGTTGGATAGAGTCATTCTGGTACCATGATGCAATATCCTAACACCTGGAGATAATACAAAAAAAGCAATAATCTAAGAACGATCAAGAATAAAAGACACAATGAAAAAGACACAGCACAAGATAGAAGATGAACGAAAACATAATAATCAAAGCTACAACCCAACTGTTACTATATTGAATTATTGATTGAATGAACTACAGTTAAGGAACTGAGTATCACCTTCATTTTCTCAGCAAGTTAGACCCATGTTGATGAATATCTCCTTATATTGACCATATTCTATTGTTTTCCATGCTAGCCTCTATTTTAGTTACTTATTATTACCACTAATGACCAAAAGAATTGGTTGTTGAGAACAAGTAATGATGTAAAGTGATCAAAAGAAGGCCTCTTTTTGTTGTATGAATTATGTAGTAATGGACTCATCATACAACAAAGATACATACAAGAACAACCAAATAACAAAATAAAACAATGATGTCAAATGAAATCAAATAGTGAAACTTGTATTATTTGTCGCCACCATCTTTTTCATGTCCCTCCCTCATCTCAATGAATGTAATTATTGTTTCTTGACTCAATCATAATCTAGGCAATTCTTTCTCTTGGGAATATCTCAATTTTTCAAGACATTTCTTAATCCATGATGCAAAATAAAAAAAATTCCCTCGGAGCAATGTTTTAAAAGCCGATCAAGAAAGACCAACGGTTCGCAATTCTCATGGTCTAACCGATTAGATTGACGGTTGAACCAATAACATAATAAATAAATTTAAAAAAAAAATATCATATATAACAATAATATCAAATAAAAAATAACTAAGAAATTATATATAAAAAACTAATATTATCATCAGCAATCATGTTTGGCCATCAATAATTCAGAACCTTGCACCAATCTGCCATGGTGTAAACATAAAACCATTAAGGAAAAGCATCAACAATGCATTTTTGGCCAAACAAATTGAGAAGCCACTGTTTAGGTTTTAAATAAAAGCAAAAATTAGATGATATCGCTTTGCATCAGAAAGGAAACAACATAATCAAACCATGTAGGAACAAATCAATATGGTGTAAGGGAAATGAACCAAGAGAATTAACCTATCCTCACCTAAGCTTCAATCTCGGCCAATAAAGAGGCTGATGAAATCAATGAAAAAGGAGAAGGAGACAATCAAACGAGAGATGACAAGATGAGAAGAGTGAAGAAAAGTCTGAAAGAAGGTAGCTGCACCAAGACACAAACAGGAAGAGGAGATGCTAAGGCCGAGACTCAGAAGGAGGGAAAGCACTGAGGTAAAAGCCAACAGCTAAACACGAAGAGAGCTTGATTGTTGATTCTGGAATCATGAATGTGAACTCGTGAAGAGAGGAGCAGGAGCTGCAATCGTGTTCATGACTCCTGACTTGAGAGGGAATGCCTGACTCTGAATCTGAAATGAGGAAGGTTTTTATAGGGGCTAGAATTGGGAAAAAATTGGCCAAAATTTGACTTCCCCAGTCCTCAAAGAACCACCCCCGGTTCACGGTGCTACAACAATTCGTGGTCCAACCGCTGCTTCAGCTGCAATGTTATTGACCAGACAGTCCGATCTGGTCTAGTCCAGTTTTAAAATCATTGCCTTGGAGTGTAACAAGGAGGAAAATTTGGCACAGATGCACGGTGCTATCCACTTTCTTATGGAAGAAATGCACCGTTCCTACTTAAGTATATTGCATGCAACAACATTGAATTGAAATTCAAAATCAAGAGTATATACAAGACTCCAAATCCAAAAACACAAATAAAAAAGGACCCCTACCAGAGCAGCAAGAAGCAAAATTCAATTGCATAAAGTTTTTGACCCAAACAAGGTAATGGTGACAGAGATTTCTCTAATGGCATTGCAACAGTCTCTGGCACAGTTGCTGTGGGGCCTAGGAAGAAAACCATTAGCCTACCCTCCTTGCAATTCTCAAATCCATTACTATATTCTGAGCTCCGATTTTTTGAGGAACACCAATGCCAAGATCTCAATGAAATAGAATTGAAAGATCCGGGTTTTCGGGAATCAAATGCATCAGGGATAATCTGAGTACTTTTGGCTAAATTACAGGTTCTACTAACTAGTGCAATCGCTCAAAACTTTCCCGTGAGCAATGTCAATCCTCTAATTTTTGTGCGTCTACATTCTACAATGAGGGTTTGGTTATAACTAATTTGTGGATGGGGAAAGTAATGGTTGGTGAATTGATTCTGCTACAGCCTATAGGGATTAACCTAACTCATAACCAAAGATGTGAACAAGAAAGTGAACAATGTGTTACAAAATAGAGCCCCACCTTTATCAAAGAGAAGGGTGGTTAGGTGGTGGTGCAACACGGGGCTTCAAGAGGCTCAAGTATTCAGGGCCCTAAGTCTCTACATCTACATTGGTTGCGTCATCTTTAATGCATCATTGAACGGTGCCATTTGAAGTCATAAATGACGTCTTACTGTTGCCCCTGTCTTAACCTTAAAAATAAAAGCAATTACTGAAAGAAAAGTCACAAAATAAAGGTGAAAAGAAAAAATAAAAGAAAAAGAGCCTTATTTCTAAGAGGATAGGAAATTTCATAATTCATAGTAGTTAACAATTGAAGCCTTTAGAAACCAATACTCGACATTCTTTCCTTTCTCTAAAAAGGAAGCTGTATGCTTGGAAGCAAACAAAAAGATTTAAAGACAATGTAGACACTGAGATTTATATGTACTTCCATGACAAATTACTATCACCATGACGGTCATAATGTAAACCTCCACAAGGATTAAACAGTATATGAAGACAACCAACCACAAAAATAGCTGAAATGACACAATATTATTATATTTAGTGCCTCTTGATTCAAGTGAATCCCTGCCAATACATCAGTAACAAAAGGGAATGAGTTCCAGATACCACACTAAGCCTATGACTTCTTGTACAAAGAGAAACGAGTGTGCAAACAGTTTTAATCATTGTACGCTCGATATACTATTTTAAGAGAAACCTTTAATTTCTAGCTTTTCTGAGCTCTAATCTAACCATATTATAATTTTTTATCATTAAGCTCTAAAATTGTTAGTGTGGAAAAGAAAATTCTTCCTAGCAAATAATCCTCACAAAATTTATATTTCCCAGCATGAATAACAATTGTTTAAATATGAATTTACAGAACATCCACAACCTACCAAGTATCTCATTTTCAATTGAACTTCTCCAAGAAAAGGTAAAAGCTTTACCCTAAAATACCCAAGAACAAGAATCCCAAGTTGTTGGGGGGAAGGAGGAATGTGGCAAAAACCCTTAATTGGTGGAAAAAACCATATTATTGAGAAAGAGAGATTAACCTTAGGATTAGTAGAGTGGGAATTATAGCAGATCTTGGAGGCAATAGTGGAGCAGAGCTGAGATTGAGGGAGTAACAATTTCGCCGAGGTTGTAGACTTCCATGATGGTGGAGATTATATTGATCTGTAGGCAGTCTCGAAGAAATCAAAGACTCTGCCTTGCCTCCTCCAGATTCATCGAGTTCAGAGGAACCTTCGTGCTCTTCAGATCCCTTGGTTTTGTGGAGGTGTTTCTTTTTACTTTTTAATTATAAAGAGGTCTCACCACCTCATGCAGCCAGAGTCCTCCTGGTTCTCAGCCTAGGGGGAGCACTAATGCTGTTGGATTCCAAACTGATGGTTGGCAAAAAAGTTTATGGTATTTTCAGAGGGCTGGAATTATGTTGGCAAAAAATTTTAGGGCAACAGAAGCTTCATCCTCCATACTTTCTCTATGTTCTAAATGAATCAATTGGCATTTAAATGACCACACTGGCATAATAGAACCACATAATAGATAACAAAGCAATAATCCTCAGACAACAATTGGCAGCAACAATAATACGCTCGACTTTACAACAAGTTAAAATAACAAAACTTCTTGCATAAAAAGCATAAGAAAACTTTAACTACAGATAGGCAATAAGCAAGATTGAAATTGCAAATATTCAAGGCAGGGACAGAGACGCGAAACATAAAAAGATTCTGGAGACGCAAATTCGAACACTCAGTAAGTCAGTATGAATAATAAAATGCGAAAGAGAGAGATGGACTTACTGGTTAGTGGTTATCACGAACCGAGAGAGATTGAGAAGGAAAGACTAAGTTGAACACGGTCACAAACTGAGAAGGAGAGATGCATACACTCTGCTAGTCACACGCAGCACAGTCAAACAACGATCGTCAAGCTCGTCACACACAGTCGAGCGATTGTCAAGCACTCAAGCTCCGTCGCTCAGTCGAAGTACCTTCTTTTATTTTTATTTTTTTTTTCAAAATGCAAATTACAAAGAATATACTCCAGAATCAGATAAACGCAAAAATACTCCACAATCCATAGCAAATAACATCATCATTCACCCGGAGTACGGAGTCCAAATTAACCAAAGAATTAGAAAGATTAGTGCTAATGTCAAGTTGTCAACAACACGCAAGCCAGATAAATTTTGGCATAACACACGAGCCAAATTTTAAGTCAACCATCACATTACCTATTCGAATGGTGATTTGGGACTGGGTTCAAAATTCGAACAGGAGACGAAAGACGATCAAGAGACGATCTGGACAGCAACTGGAGTCTGGAGTGTGGAGACCGGAGATCGAACAGATTTCAAGGTTCGAGCTCGCCCTCAGGCGCGAGGTGCTAGCTTCCACGATCTGCACTTCTGCATGACAGGAACGGCGCTGGCGACGATCTGAAGGAGAAGACGAAGGCGAGGGCTACAGAGCAGAGTTCTTCGACGTTTAGGATTTAGGAAACAGACAATGGAGACAAGGAGTGAATTGTTACTCTGAGAGTGTGATTTGTGAAGGAGAAGGACGCGCCAGCATTCAGCTTTGGAGTTGGATTTTTTTAAAAAAAAAACAGGACAACTGGAATTGTGAGGGACAGCCAAATAAGCAACAATTGAACTAAAAGAAAAGAAAACAAAACGAGCCAGCCAACGGGTTAAGCAAGTTAGCCCGTTTTACACCGCTTTTTTAACGATTTAAGTTAGCCCAACTCAGTTTTGAAACGGGCTCATTTTCTCAATCTAATTTGTCAAAATTGGCAAGCTAAGAAACTAGCCCGTTGGATTGAGCTTATTTGCCTAACTCTAAGTCAAACACAACACAGTACAAAGCACATGCTCTACTTGTCAAGCTCAGTCGCACTCGCACAATAGAGAAGGAGAAGATTAAACATCAATTCGGAGATGGGAGGGAAGGGGGTGATCGGAGTCGCCCGCCAATGATGAGAGAGGGTCAGACTTTAGCCTACAAACGGAAGACTAGAGAGAAAAGGAGAGTGACAGCTAGGGTGAATGAAACGGGAATTAAAAAAATCTAACCCTAATCCTTTCCCGCCCTTTTTTTTTTTTATTCGACTGAAACCTTTTCCATTGCAAGTTTGGCTTAAAAAAATAAATAATTAAATAAATAAAAATTAATACTCAGGCTGGGCCTAAACAAATAGGGCTACATACCTTATTTGTTGCCCAGCTTGGCCCACATATTAACCCAACCCTGCTCATGCTCATAACATTTTAGATATTTTTTTTCCTAGGCTGGGCAAAATTTAATCAAGTTTGGGCTGTCGGTCACCTGACACCAAGAACACTTGTCACATCAAGGCTGAACCTCCAAATGCAATGCGTTACTGGGAGTTCCAAAAATTCAAAGCTATTACTAGTTGTGTTTTTCGATAACAAGAGAAAAGTTGAACTTTTTGACCTGTCTTCCTTTATGGGATTGAAAACGCAGCTCACATATGGTGGGGATGTACGAAGATACAATGAGCAGTACTTGTTATTAACTAGACTAATGTGCCTAGACGTTGCAATTACTTTCTTCCTAACATCAAAAGGGAAGGTTGAAGATCGAGAGAGACATGACATCCATAGTTTCAAGCTTGGGCGTGGAAGCTCATATTTTTTATTTCTTTTAAATTTAAATTTCTCAACATGCTATTTTGCAATATCAATAATTTCAATAACGCTTTCCAACAACTTCAACCAAACAAAGCTAAAGGAATAAACGAACAAAGGCAACTAACAAATTTACAAACAAGTGCTGATATCCACATGCCAACTAAAAAAAAATGTTGTATGAACTTAAGGGTTATTTTCTGTTGTATTTTATCTTTTTCTAGAGCAGCTTGCTTGTCTGCAATCTGTGACTGTTAACGCTACAGAATAGTACAATAAACAATTAAGGATTTTGCTCTCAAAAGGGATGGACTTGTTGTTCCTCAGTATTCCGGATACAGGAACAGGACAACAGATTTGAACATGATATATGTTTTGAATCTTAGACTTCAATTGCCATTCGCCCAATTTAAAGCCAAATTCAATCATGAAATTAAAGCATTTGTTAAAAGGGAAAAAAAAATCTATAACGAATCTCATGGGGGACAAATTTGGTGGTCAGAAGCCAGATGCCATGAATGCGATCTTGAATTTCGGCTTCACTTCTCTACCAAATTCCTGGTCGGAAAAGGAAGCAATATCTCTATAGAATTATTCACCAAAAAAAAAAAAAAATATATATATATATATATATCTCAATAGAATTTAATGCCATAAGGGCAATACTTGTACAAAAACGTTTCCACCTTAATTCCTAGTTCCTACACACCAGAATTTTGTTTTTTTGTTTTTTTCACCAAACTGAATCAATAAACTAATCGAACGGAAATGAAAGAATTATAATATGCAAGGAATTATTCCCCTATTTTTTGTATTTCAATGTGTTGCATGTATTAAATATGGTCTTTGTTTTTTTTTACTCTGTTTAAAATATTTGTTGATTTAAAAAATTAATTTATTTTAGATATTAAAATCATAATGTAAATATATTTATTGTCTCACAATTCAACACTTAATAATAACTAATTTTGTGGAGAAAGAAAACATGACTCATCTGGTTGAAGAATTAATATACAGGATATTTTCTTCAACATTATAAAAAATTGTTACAGTTTAAAATTTTAAAAAGATTTCATACTTTTCATGAGAATATGAAAAGTAAAATACAAATTTACCTTTAAATTATAAGTATAGAAACATTGAGAAATCTAAAAGCCTTTTATATAATGCCTCTTTTTAACATTTTAAAGCAATGCAATATTACTCATATCATCAACAAATAGTAACTTTAATTTTCACTCAGCCAAAAAACTATAAAAAAATGACCTAAAAATATTGAAAATGACTAAAAATTTATAGAAAATGATCCTAAGAAAACTAGTAACTTTTTTTGTTAGGTAATAATAACTACTGCCAACCTAATCATTTAGAGGGAGGGAGGAATAGTTGATAGTGAGTAACTATTGTAAATTAGGGGTGTTCACGTTTGTCCCATCCTACTCAATCGAGCTTCTTCTAAATCATGTCAAGATGAGTCTATTCCAACCTAAAACAAAAAAGATATAATTTTGTTGGACTAAATAAAAAATAATTTAAAATGGGACAAGAAGAGACAAGACATGAGACTATCTTTGAAACGTCTTATCCCATCCCATCTCAAATATAATGCACATATTTTTTTTATTAATATGTAATAGTTTATTTATTCTATGTATATATTTTTGTTTATTATATATATATAGATATATATATATTGTTAATATGTAATATTTAAGAGGAAGAACTAATGACTTGATATTGTGTTTGGCAAGTTTACTTAAATTGTGTAATTCAATGATTCTGTTATTGTTGTACTTGCAACCTAAATGTTATTTGTGATTGTTTGTGTGATTGACTTTAAGATATGATTGTATTCCTTTATTTTAAATTTTAACTCAATAATTGAATTGATATACTTGTATTTTAATTTTGGACTTAACAAGTTATATAATTTAATAAATATTGTTATTTAAATTTCTCTTTCATGTCTTGTTTATTTTATTGAGATATTCTGATTCTATCTAGATTCCAATTGAAAAAAAATGACACTGAACAAAAACTCAATTTTATCCATTTCTTGAGACAAGACAGGAGATAGAATTGTCTCAATTCTACCCCATCTTGCAAAGACCCATATTGATAACCTTGCATCCGCAGCGTTGGGTGGCGACCGTCTCTCAAGCAGTTAATGAGAGAAACAAACTAATTGCAGTATGCATATCAAAATTGAATAATAAGGAACAGAAAATTACTTTTTTTCCCTAAAACTCCAGATTATTTTCTGAAACCAAATATAATTCATGAAATTGCGAAGGCTAAGATACTTACTCCAACAATTTTAAAAAAAAAAACAGAAAACAAATGTGCTCTTATTTCTCCAAATATATTTAATTATAAATTGAAAAGTTTATTGATCGTAAAATATTCCATGTCCATGTGAATAAAGTGTAAAATATAATAAAGTACTCTTGTAAACTTCTAATAATAATAATAAAAAGAATACTGCCTAGAACATCAAACATCAAATATTATTGATAAGGGATGGTTTTTGATAATTTTAAAGTAAAACGAATAGAGTGAGAACTGAGAATTTGAATGCACATGTGCGCGTAAAGAATATACTGAGAAAATTCTCCCAAAAAGAATACACTGAGAAAACGTGGTTGTGTTGTCGCGTGACGTGCACATGTCACATGTGTGAAAAGGAGTCCTTATTTGTTAATTAAATTGGCGGTGGCCGCTTTGATATTTTAACAATGGGGGAGAGCTTTGGATTGAAAGCCGCGGCAAAAAGTTAAAATTTAAACCTCTCATCATCATCATATACATGTTAAATTTATTTAAGTGAAGATAAATAAAAAAATTACCATGTGTTTTTTTTAAGTATTTCAAACCTTAGGATGTGTCAATGCAGATCAACTCTCTCCACCTATATCCTTTGCCTGGAATGCAAAAGTTAAATGTGAGAGGATTTAATTAATCACATATTTTGCACACTTTTTTTTTTTGACATTTGTGTTCATATTTTATTAGTTTAAATCTTTATATGCATAATTTTAGTGTTAAATTTGATCATCAGCTCATTTGCATTGAATTTTGATATTAGAGATATTTTAATTATTTTATACATTTTATTATAATTAATTATTTTTAATCTTGAATTTTAATTCTTTGGCACATTTCATTACTTAAAAAAATTTTATTCTTATTCTAGGATTTTGTTTGATTCAATTTCATTAGATTGATTTAATTTTGTTTAATGTGAGTTTTTAAGCATTTCGGGTCTAATTTGGTAATCTTTTCTTTTTTATTTAAATCTTTTTTTTTTAACTTTTCAGCAAATAGGAAGAACGCGGAAGGAGAATCATGCACCGGGTGGGATCGTCTTCGGAGGCGGACTGAACGCAGAGCTCATTTTCATCACTTCTTCTCGGTCAGAGTTAGATGACCGCCGAGACACACGATCACACATCTCCTCTCGTCTTCCTCTGAGGTTTCAGATCATCTCAGCTTCCAGTTTCAATCATCGCTCACCTCCTCTCAGTCTGAGCTCAGCCATTCACAGTAATGCACTGAACGCTCATCTTCCTTAGGGGTTCCAGAGATCGTCGTGCATCACTGCAGATTTCTTCTTGCTCGCCTCTACCACAAGCACAGCAACGCTCATCTCCTCTTGAGTTCTCAGTTTCAGTCATCATACACTGTCACTCATCTTCTTCTTCTCAGTGACAAAGTCGGTCACACACTCCTCGCATAGCTCATTCATTCACAGCTTCTTCCAACCTTCGTCCATAATAGCTTTCACGCCCATCTTCCTTCAATCAGTCATCGAGGAGCAAACAGTCATTGAGGAGGACGAGATGAGTGACTGAATTCTTTCTAGAGTTCTCTAAGGAGATGAAACTTTCACTTGAGTTTTCTTAGCTCTTTTTCATTTTGGTTATGTTGTAATTCGCCTCTAATTGCTTTGATTTTT